GGGGTTAAGCCCACACAAAAACACTAATACACAAGACGGCTCATGTCTCCTTCAAAATCTCAATATAATAAAGAGATAATCTCCCTAAGAGGCATCTTTATAATAGTATAGTTGTTAGCATGGTTCACCGTATCTATTGCCTTATCTAAAAACATACTTAACCACGATATCAACATCACTCTCAAGAGTGTTAATTCTATGTTTGAGTTCCACAAGTCAATTTGACTTGAGTCAAGGAAGGATTAGAATTATTGGTATAATAGTTGTTGACAATGGTGGAGCCACATTAGTTTGAGGGTGTCCAAATGCACCCCCTCACTTTGAAAAAAATTACAAATAGGGTATATAAAATATACAACTTTACACCCCCTTACTTTTGATATTTTTCACCCTATAAATTAAATAAAAAATATTTAGGCTCAAAAGTTTAGTAGATATATAATATTTTAATAATCTAGATAAGATATGAAGAGTATATTTATAATAGAAGACTATATCAATCTGTTCAATATAATTTTTTTGAAATCAAAAATGATAATAAAACTATTCATGTTATTATAATTTTAGTTCTAGCATAATTATTAGTTTTTAAAAATATTAATTTTTATTGAATTATTTTGCACCCCTGACTCGAGGTCTTGACTCCACCACTGGTTGTTGAGTCACTCTTCACAATCAAGTTCTTAAAGTTCAAGTCTTTTGCAAGTTTGAGGCCATGATAAATGCTCTACATTAAGTTTTCATCCATCCGTCAGTGGGCAATCCCACCTAACTTTCACCAGAGACAATAATAAACTTGTAAACTCATTCTCTGTTAAGCTTTTATGAAGTAAGCTTGCATAGTTAGTAATCCTCTTAACCAACTCAATAGGATTGGAAATACCATTGTTGAAAATACAACCATTATGGTACTTCCACAAGGACCAAATAGTAATAGCAAAAACAGTATCTCATGAGGAGAAGTCATGGAAAGACTTACACTTAAAATTCCAACAAAACCGTTTCTTTTATTGAAATGCCAAAAAAGAATCTATCTCAACAGTGTAACTTTAATTCCTTCTTAAAAAGCTTCCAAACATGCATGCATGCATGAAGCCATAGGTTCGTATTATTGAAGAATTATTGATACAGCAGCAAGCTTCATCCTTCAAATGAAACCTCCTGCTACTACACTTTTATTAGTTTTATTAATTTGTTCAATGAAAGAATATCTATTTCTTAATTATACATGGTAACTTGTGATAATTGAATGCTTTATTGTTTTATACCATAGTAAGACCTGTAAAACGCTATCGAAGTAATTAGGTCTTTTCCCACAAAATTTTATTTTCATATATGTTTCAAGGAGCTGTAGTGATATTTCATATTTTTAAGATCCTTCTTTGATATTAAAACATTTTACAGATCTTAAATATATTTTTATTTTTTTTAATTCAGTCCTTACTTAATGCTCAATATTTTGTTAACAATAAATGCTTTATGATGTGGGCAAATCCTTCCATACATTTATTAAGAACATAGTAGGGAAAATTATAGCCAAGGACTGCAGGAGGAATCTATTTACATAAAAGTACCAAATAATTTGGAAATTATGCTATAATACCTAGGGATTAAAACATAATTAATTTTTAATGTGAAAAGACAAAATTTTCCCTCAATTTTTTTTTTAAAAACTCCTCAACCACCGACCATTGAAGCTTCGATATCGGTGGCTGGACCACCCTACCAGACCGGCTATCTAAGCTCCTACAATGGTAGTTGAACCACCACTAGAACTCTGACATTGATTACCTAACCAGTGAGGGAGGCAAGCTATTTTTTTTTTAAGGTGGCCTAAGGTGGGATTTGAACCCACAACTTCTTGGCCACCAAAAAAATTATTAGCCACTAGGCTAACAAATCCTTTCAATTATATAATGCAAAGTTTTATATATATACTTAACTATGTTTTCACTTTCCATACCAATACTTATCAAATTTCAGTAGTTACTTGTCATTTTACAAATGGTTACTTGTTAAACTACTAATAGAACTTGTTAAAAAATTTAATACACACTGATTTTTATAAATGCTTAATTGTTTTTAATACCAAAATGACAAGTTTCTATTAGCAGTTTAACAAATAATCATTTGTAAAATAACAAGCATCGTTACTAACTTTGAAAATTTCTCTTGGTAACTTGACAAGAAAATTTTAGCAAAATAACAAGTTCCTATGAGCTTTTGACATGTAAAATTTTAGTAATAAACCAAGTAAATATTTATAAAAATCACTCCATATTAAATTTCTTTGACAAATCCTTATTGATAATTTAACAAGTAATCATTTGTGAAATGATAAGTCCTGTTACTAGCTTTGAAAATTTTTCTTGATTATTTGACAATAAAATTTTAACAAAATAATAAGTTCCTATAAGCTTTTGACATGTAAAATTTTAGCCTAACGGCTAACAATTCTTTTGGTGCTAAGAGGATGTGTGTTCAAACCCTACCTTGGCCACCTTAAAAAGAAAAAAAGTTTGCCTCCTTCCCCAGTCCAATGATTGGCACTAAAGCTCCGGCGTTGGCTCGACTATCACTACCGGAGCTCAAATGGTTAGTCCAACGGCATAGTCCGACTACCAACGTCAAAGCTCCGGCTACTAGTGGCTAAGGAGTTTCTTTTAAAAAAAAATTGAGGGGTAATTTTGTCTGTTCGCATTAAAAATTAATTACATTTTGATCCCCTAATTTTGCAACATAATTTCAGAATTATTTGGTATTTATCTCTAAATAGATTCCTCCGGCAGTCCTTAACTGTAATTTTCCCAACATAGTACTCCATTGGAAGAAAACATTAATTTAATTATTTCTAAAATTCTGTAATTTATCTTATATATAAAAGTAACTAATCATTCAAAATTGTCCAGAGATTCGTAATGATTAGAATAATACGAATGTCTATGATCTTCAAGCGTACTGATGACTGTCGTTTTATTCCCTGTCATACGTAGGCCAAAAATGGTCAAATCAATTTATTTCTAGCCAACAAATGAGGAAATCCTGTACGAAGTGGTCAAAGTCAACTTTTTCTTGTTTTTTCTAAAAATAATCCAAATATCTAAAAAATCTATCCAGTCTTCAAATTTGAACAATAACAAACTTTTTTCGTGAAAATTTTAAGGAATGAAAGAAAGAAGAAGTATAGAATAATTTTTTTCCATATGAATATATTTGTTTTATTTTTTTGTGAAACCATTTTCGGGATTTTAATAAATAGGCTGCTTTTAAGGAACAAAGAACCTGTCTTTAAAAGGGCAAAAACAAATAGAATAATGGCTTAGTCTGACCAAGCGATGGGCGAGACGTAAAGTGATGCTGGATTTATGAGTTGGCCCATAAAATGACCGTTACGTGACATGAGATTGGTCCATAGCCCACCAAAATAGGCTGGTCCATTATTCAAAGTAGTGACGTGCAATTATTCTGAATCTTTGAAGTTTTTTGTTTTTGTTCGAATCTTTGAAAAGTTCTACTTCTACTAATAATTTGACCCGCCGATCGCAATGATTACTCCTTATTTTTTGGTTATAATTATGATTTTGTTGCTTACATTTTAGGAAGTCATAACTCATAATTGAAAAAAGAGTAGCATTTCCATGCTTAATTGAGAAATTGTTATTTGTGTTCATCACATGGTTTAATGAAATATTATCCCACTTTTTTATATTCTATTTAAAGTTATTAAATTTACAAATTTAAGTAAACTTATAATAAAAATGTAACTCAAAACGTAAACTCGAATTGTAAACTTATAAGAGTTTACCTCTATTAATAAATAACTTTTAAAAGTACATAATTAAATAATTAAAATATAAATATAATCATAATTTAATTTAAATATATTTTAAATATAAATTATTTAAATTAAATCTATCCACATTTATATATAATTATACTTAACATAGAAATTTTAAAATATGGCAACTTATTTTTGATATTTTTTTGTTTTCTTTTTTATTAATATTAATTTTTATTTTTTAAGTTTTAGTTTCAATTAAACAAGATCCTGCTTTTTTCAATTAAGTTCTAAATAATATATACTTATCTTGCTCAATGAGTTTATGAGCAAATATGCACGATTTATAAGTTAAAAATGTAAAAATAGTAATCTCGAAGAGTCAACTCATGAGTTTAACTGAATTTTATCTAATTCAAATTTATAAGCAAATTAACACAATTTTATAAGTTAGAAATATAAAAATGATAAACTTGTAGAATTAATTCAAAAATTTGACAATAATGATCTACCCACATCTAATTTCCATTGTTTTAATTCAATCATTTTCTAATACTTCAAGAATGTAATGAACTAAAAAAATCAGTGTTTATATATGATATAATGTATCCTTATCTGAAAAATTAGTTTAAAATTTATTAGAGTTCGATAGGTAATGGAATTTATGTAAAGTAAAGAAACAAGGTTGCGTTTATACTATTTACACATTATTATCCAGACAAAAAATTTGTTAGGCAAAAGGAAGAATTCTTTAGAGAATGACAACTAAATAAAACTCCGTAAAAAATTAATGTCAAATCATAATTTCATCATAATTTTGATTCTCGTTAATCCATTAAGTTGATCCTCAAGAACAATCCAACTAAAATGATTGATGGTTGAATGATTATAAGCCAGTCTAACTGATTACTTTCAAAACATTTTTTTAAAACAAATTTAATAATATTGATTCCATTTAAAAAATGAGATATAAATTTAAGGCTTTGGAAGAAAAATATATTTTTAATCCCTTAATTTCACTTACTTTATAATTTGATTCTTCATCGTGAATCATTCAATTTATAAAAAAATAAACAAATACTGTATATATTTCCCAAAAGACATAATAATGTATGTATATTTTTTTAATAAGAATAATATATCTATATAAACAGATGATGCGATAAGCAAATTCATCTCATGCCACAACTTGTTATTAGACCAACCAACGTTAACGATAGCTATGTCTACTGCAACGTTAAAGACGACGACAATGGCTGCGTCTGCGGTTAAATATCGCAGAGTTCGTTCATCACATATAAGTTCATGGCCATTCAGGCATCAATCATCCAACTTATTTTTCCACCACGATCGGAAATCAACAAAAATAATACATGCTAGATCCATAATTGCATCAGCTTGATTACAAGGTATAAAGCTTGAAAGCCATACATGATGCTAAAGCCTTAATTATTATTTGTCTTTCGATAATCATATATATCGTTTTATTTCTTTGCATTGGTGTTTAGTACTTGGTAGCTGCTCAAACTGATGAATTCAAACCAAGCATGGAAGCTCGGAAAAGAAGAGTCCGAGAGGCCCTGCGAAACACGACGGATCCAAAGGCGACCTTGAAGATGATAGACACGATACAACATCTGGGAATTTCGCACCACTTCGAGGAAGACAAAGATTCGATATTAAGATGTTTGTGTGGTTGGGACGCTGGTGACGATCTCTTTGCCACTGCTCTTCGCTTTCGTCTCCTCAGGCATAATGCCATCTTCACTACTAGTTCATCAGGTTCAGCTTATAATTTTGTGTTCCTTTTTTAAAATTTGAAATTGATCATACAGAAAACTAATGATCACTTAAAATAGGCTGGTGAAAACATGAGAAACTTAATTATAGAAGTAACACATTATTCTGAACAACTTTGAACTGATTAGTTGAGTGTTGACGCGTGGTGTAGATTACGTTTTCAAGAAATTTATGGACAAAAGCGGGAGATTCAAGGAATCAATCAGCAGGGACACGTGGGGTTTGTTAAGCTTGTATGAGGCATCGTACTTGGGAGAAGAGGGGGAAGATATGTTAACGGAGGCCATGGGCTTTACGAAGCTCCATCTTCATCGATCCTTACCAGATCTCAGCCCTGAAAAAGGAGGCCGTGTTGCTAGAGCCTTGAAAATTCCAAGGCACCTCAGAATGGCCAGGCTTGAAGCCAGAGACTACATTCATGAATATGAAAAACTTAGCAACCACATGCCAGCTCTCTTGGCTTTGGCCAAGTTAGACTTTGACATGGTTCAGTCGCTGCACCAACAAGAATTAGCAGAGATTTGCAGGTGAGGCAGATCTCATTCATTTAACACTTTGATCATATTGAGTTCTGCACATGGACAAATTTTCTATTTGACATTTTTAGGTGGTGGAAACAACTGGGGCTCGTTGATAAACTTGGTTTTGCGAGAGATAGACCATCGGAGTGCTTCCTGTGGACAGTGGGGATATTTCCAGAGCCATACTATTCTAATTGCCGGATTGAACTCACCAAAACCATCTGCATATTACTGGTTATGGATGATATCTTTGACTCTTATGGCACCTTGGATGAACTTGTTCTTTTCACTGAAGCCATCAGAAGGTTGATCTGCTAGTCCAATAATTTCTGGTTATCACTGAAAAAAATCAACGCGTACGTGATTCAGAATTGATCATATTGTTAACTTATATTCTTGTTTGCAGGTGGGATCTGGACGTGATGGAGGAGCTGCCCGAGTATATGAAGATATGCTATATGGCATTGTATAACACTACCAATGAAATTGCCCACAGAGTTCAGAAAGACCACGGCTTGACCGTGGTTGCACACCTGAAGATAACTGTAAGAATATCTGAATAAATAATCAGAAATCATGACAAACATTAGAAAAAAGTACTAATCACCATGATGGGATTAAGCAAGAAATTAATTAATGACTATTGGGTGCAGTGGATAGACATATTTGAAGCTTTTTTAAAGGAAGCGAGGTGGTTCAGCAGAGGGGAGATACCAAATGTTGAAGAATGTCTGGAGAACGGTGTGAGTTCTGCGGGATCATACATGGCAATGGTGCACGCATTCTTCCTAACAGGAGACAATCTCTCAGAGCAAAATGTTTCTATGATGAAGAATCAACCGTATCCAAGGCTCTTCACTGTGTGTGGCGAAATTCTTCGCCTTTGGGATGATCTGGGAACTTCAACGGTACGTACGTGCACGGGCATCTCTTTATCCCTTTTCATTTGTCGCCTAAATACGATCTACATTAATGATTACTATTAATAAATTAATTAATGAAGAAGTTTGACGGTGAATGGTGATGATTGGGAGGAACAAGAAAGAGGAGACAATGCATGCAGCATCCAATGCTACATGAGAGAGAATCATCCTGTAGAGGAAGACAAAGCGAGAAAATACGTAAGAGAGCGTATAGGGAAGCTATGGTGGGAACTAAATAACATAGCAATGGCAACGAAGTCTCTGCCTTGGTCAATCGTGAAGGCTTCGTTTAACGTAGCAAGAACTGCGTAGGTGATTTATGAGCATGGAGATGACAAAAGCGCGTATAGCGTGGATGATTACGTCCAAGCTTTGCTCTTCCAACCCTTCTCAAACCATTGTTCCCACATAAATCCTTAATTAGAAGGAGTGTATATGTGTAGGTCCTCAATAATTGTAAAATTGTTCCACATTCATAGGCACTCCTCTGCTAAAACATTGCAAGGTTTTTTTTTTTTTATGAGTTGAATGTTTAAAAATATAAAGTATTTTTAGTATTTAAAAATGTAATCATTTTTTTAAAAGTAATTTTAATAAATAAATTACTTTACATTTATTTTAAAGTGCAATACCTTATTAAATAGAGATAAGTATGAAAAAATTATGTTAGTTTAAAAATAAATAAGTAATTATTTTATTGATAAAATTTAATTAAAAATGTATTATATTTTTAAATAAATGAAGTGATGGATGTGGTTTGTACCCGTTCTACAGAGGAAGAGGACATGGGCGGAATCAAGATAAAAATTGGATCGGGCCAAATTATTTAAATAAATTTTTTTGCATACTATTGATAATTTTTTTAATATTTAGAATATTATTTTATTATAAATGTAAATAAAATTTTAAATACCTATATTATATGAAAAATATTATAAGAAATATCATTGGAAATTATTTAATACTTTAAGAAATTAAAAAATATTTAAAGTTAAGTCAAATATTTTTGTACATATGATATAAACTCTAAAATACACTTGACCTACTAAAACTAACATTAATCAATACTATTTACAAAAATAATAATATATTTATTTAAATACTTACTCAATTTTTAATAATAATTTATTTCAAAAAAAGTATTAAAAAACCTAACATATACAATACTCTCTTCGTTTAAAAATATAAGATATTTTTAAATAAATTTTATCCTAATAAAGTAATTATCTACTTTTAAATTAACCCTATCTTTTTGTATTTATCCCTATTAAACACCCAATAATAAATATAAAGTTATTTATTAATAGGAATATTTAAAAAAAGATAATAATTACACTTTAAAAAATTAAAAATACTTTATAATTTTAAATATTTATTTTTTAAAAAATATTTTATATTTTTAAATAAAGAGTATAAATATTAACTTTCACCGATAAACATATTTCTATAAACCAATATAATATAATTATAGTTTATTTATCTTTTACAAATAATAAAAAAAATTGTAACTATGCATGCTTGTGCATACGCAGAGAGTGTCAGGGAGAGTAGATTTTTTGTTGGCTAGGAACATGGTACACCTATATTCGTTCGAAGATGGCAGTGGGTTGGCCCCACTCAACACAGACGTGGGACCGTCCCTGGAAGAGGAGGCGGGCGGGTTCACATTTTCAGCCTTCACTGCCACAAGATTCCTTTAACATCCGTTCGCGCCTGATTCCTACTTTCCCACGGTTTGCTAATTAATAAGATTGGGGATAAAAACGATAAAATCCAAAAAAAAAAAAGTTATAAACAGTTAAGTGTTCAACAATTTTTTGAAAAAGAAATGATAACAAAATTCTTTAAGATTATCTAAATAACATTTTGACCTCTTAAAATGTGATAATTTTATTAAAATTTTTAAAAACTTATGTATCAATAAATTTTAAATTAAAAAATTATTTTACTATTATTGATCGGTTGTGATTTCTTGTTTAATTCTTTAAATAAAATTTATTATTTCTCAAATAAAAGTTGTGGTTGGGGTTTATTATTTTTAAAACTTATTTTTGAACAACAAAAATTATATTTAACAAGTTGTATTTTTTTGTTCACCGTTTGCAATTCATAAAATAAAGGTTATCATTCCTTAAGCAAAAATTGCGATCGGTACTTATTTTTTAATAATAAAAATTACAATTAACAAGTTGTGATTTCTTGTTCTACTCTTGTAATTTGTTGAATAAAAGTTATTATTTTTAAATAAAATTTATAATTGAAGCTTGTTATTTTTAATAAGAATAGAATAATCTTTTCATTTTAAAATTTATTAACATAAAAGTCCCTTAAGATTTCAGTAAAATTATAACATTTCATGAAACTAAATTGTTATTTATATAATTTAAAATAATTTTATTATTATTTTTCCTTTTTTAAGAAATAAATCACAAATATTGGTTCAAATGTATTGTTGTAAACAAGAATCTCAATTACAAATTAAAAGTATATAAAATTTAGATATTTTATTTATAGCTAAAACTCCAAAATTTATGATTATCATAATCAATATTTATAATTAATTTTTTTTAAAAAAATTATCAAAAATCTAACTGTCATAAATTTTTAGTTTTGGGATTATAATAGGGAAAATAACAATTAGGTCCCAAAGTATCAATTTTATTCAAGATAAGTCCCAAAATATTCTGAAAGGCCAGTTAAGTCCCTAGGTCCTTGAGTGGCATTTTAATATAATGAGAAATGACCAAAATACCCTTATTTAGCTGATGAAAATGTGAGGTTTCTCCTTCTCTACTCTTCCTTGCCCTGTTCGTCATCCCTTCTTTCCCTGCCCTGTTCCTCATCTCTTCTTTCCCTGCTCTATTCATCGTCTCTTCCCTGTCTCATTGCAAGCGAGTAAAGCTCTCTGTCATCTCTTCCCTGAGCTGTCCAATAAAACTGTCTATCATCTCTATTCTAGTCTTGTTTAACATCTCTTCTCTGCCTTAAATGATCAGTTGCTTAAGTCATTAATTTGTAATCTATTTTGGTCATTAATCTTTGATGGGTGTGATGCATTTGCCTAACTAAAGAGTCTGATCCTCATCAACATTTACCATTTCGATTATGCAGAAATTGCTTCTTCTTTAATTTTTTCCCTGAGTGTCTTAGCTGAAGGGGACTATGTAGTTTGTACAAGTGATGACATGCTTAAATGGATTTTAAGTTTGAAGTTATACATTGTACCCAATTAATCAAGTTTGTAACTCTGTAATTTGTTTTCACAATTTTATTCCCAACTTTTAATATTGAAACGTATTTATAATGTTCAAGTTATACATTATATCCAATCAATCAAGTTATCAAGCAACTTAGATACCCAATTTTGCAACTAGCTCGAAACAATTTTGCCACTGCTTGTCAAAATTTTGAATGGAAGAACCATTAAATTTTTAAAAAAGTTATTATTCTAGGACAACGCTCCAGTAATTTGTAATTCAGACACCAAATTTTGCAACTATCTTATAAATAATTTGCAACTTCTTTTCAAAATTTTGGGTGGAAGAACTATTGAATTCTTAAAGTTAATATTGTAGGATAATGCTCCAGTAATTTGCAATTGGGACACCAGCTTTTACAACTTTCTTACAAATAATTTGCACCTCCTCAAAATTTTGGGTGGAAGAACTATTCAATTCTTGAACTTGCAAAGCTATTAAATTATTTTAGGACATGGCTCCAGTAATTTGCAACTGACATACCAGATTTTGCAACTTCATTATAAATAAATTGCAACTCCTTCTCAAAATTTTAGGTGGAATAACTTTTGAATTCTTGAACTTACAAGGCTATCAAATTATTTTAGGATAACACTCCATTAATTTGCAACTGACATACCAAATTTTACAACTTTATTACGAATAATTTGCAACTCCTTCTCGAAATTTTGAGTGGAATAACTTGAAATTCTTAAACTTGCAAAGCTACCAAATTATTTTAGGATATGGCTCCAGTAATTTGCAACTAATATACTAAATTTTGCAACTTCCTTATGAATAATTTGCAACTCATTCTCAAAATTTTGGGTGGAATAGCTTTTAAATTCTTAAACTTGTAAAGCTATCAAATTATTTTAGGATATGACTCCAATAATTTGCAACTAACATACTAAATATTGCAACTTCCTTACGAATAATTTGCAACTCATTCTCGAAATTTTGGATGGAATAACTTTTGAATTCTTAAACTTGCAAAGCTACCAAATTATTTTAGGACATGACTCCAGTAATTTGCAATTGACATTCCAAATTTTGCAACTGTCTTACAAATAATTTGCAACCTTTGCTCGAAATTTTAAGACAACACACTTTTAGTGATTACAGAAGATATGAACTGTACATATAAGCTGCATGTATTAATTCATCTAATGCATCTGCACATATCAGTTGTCCACTTACACAAAAGCATGAACTTGAATTTATAAAAGAGGGGTTGCTATGTATCAAAAAAACCTCCCAATACTACCAATATATATGTATAAAAACCTGTATATGTTAACTAAATCTAAATTGATCTAAAACTACCCATATATGTATATCACCCAAATCCAAGTTCATGTGGTAACCCATTTACAATAACATCAACTTGGATTTAGATTTCTACACCTCTTCCATGTACGGTATGCTTCATGACAATGAGAACAATGATAAACCTTCTTCTGCTGATATTGAGACTCAATCCTCACATGACGAGGTCTGCTAGCTGATCAAGATGTTCTACGAGGTAGCAAAAAGGTTTGGCTTATGAGCTTAGATACTGTCAATGCATTTGGCTTTGACATCTCATAGGTCTCAACATGATGCATAGTGCCATTGTATATTTTCTCCTATAAACTACGAAGATAACATGCATAGTGTAACACTATACTTGTAGATTGCTTGTCTGCAATCATCAGCACTCGCAAAAATCTGTCAGGTCCTACTAGTAAATCTTTCTACTTTGTTGCATTTAGCTCAGGCATTGGTGTTGGGATACTTTGTATTGCACATGGTAGAACTTCAAGATCTTGTGTAGCATGTGAATTCTCAGCTGAACATTCTACTCTGCATTTTCATTCAAATCATGTTTATTACTACCATCCATATTCATATTAACATAATATTAATTATGCAACTATTAAAAAAACTTACACATCAATTGAATCTTTTGTTGTCTCTGTACTTTGCTATATCTTCTCAATGATGTATACATAAGCAAAATTATCATTCAATTTCATTAACTAATTTATCCCTTCATCATCTTTAAGGTCTAAAAGAGCATTGCAATCAAACTTTACTGTGTACTTCAACTCTATTTCATTTAAATCACAATTCAAGCATGATGAAATCAATCTAACAAGTCTTTCAAGAGACATTCCTTCTCTAATCATTCTTCCATTACAA